CGGGGCCCGGGCGGGCCGAGGGGGCGCGGGCGGGCGGCGGGGCGGCGCGGAAGGGCGGCTCCCGGCGCAACGCCTGGGGCAACCAGTCGTACGCCGAACTGATCAGCCAGGCCATCGAGAGCGCCCCGGAGAAGCGGCTCACCCTGGCCCAGATCTACGAGTGGATGGTCCGCTCCGTCCCCTACTTCAAGGACAAGGGCGACAGCAACAGCTCCGCCGGATGGAAGGTGCGGCCCCGGCCGGGAGCGGGGCGGGGGGGGGGGGGGAGGCTGCCCGGCCTTGGCGCGGCCCCTCGGGGGCAGGGTCCCTCCGAGCTGGGCCTCCTCCGGGAGGGTGGGCTCGGGAGGTTTCCGGGCTCGGGTGGGTTCCCGGGGCTCCTGAGCGAGGGGAGGCGTCGCTCGAGGGGGTTTGGAGTCCGGGGCCAGGGTCCTCCCTGCTCAGACTGTGACAGCGCTCCCTATAAATCACGTTCTGGGCTTCCAGGAGGCTCCCTGTCAAAGGGGGCTGTGTCCCAGAGCCGTGTGCCCGGGCTGGGGACCCTGCTGGGGTTCCCAAAAGGGTGACCGAGACACTGCTCCAGAGCCTCACCGCTGCCTTCTCCTCCCGCTCTGGGCACAGGCACACGCAAAGGTCTGTTAAAAGAGCTCCAATTGGGTTTCTGTCCTGCGCAGGTGGCAGCCTGGTGTTCCCTTTAGTCTGAGAGCAGGGAAGATTGGAGAGCTGGCTGGGGAAATAGTTCTGGGGGCTGTCCTGCTGTCCCCGTGGGGACAGGGGTGTGAGGAGCATGTTCCCTGCCTCTCGCTGCAGACTGGAGTGAAGCCTGAGGCCACCCCCCGGTTGGCAGCGTGCCTCTCCCTGTGCGGGGCTGGGCAGCCCTCTGTCCCTGCTGCAGCTTGCCCTCAAGAAAGGGTGAGAACGTGGTGAGAGGGACACGGTTGTCACACCTCAGGCTGTCACAGGCTGAGCCAAAGCTTTCCAGCTTTGCCACCTGTCAGGTTCACTGAGAGTTCCTGGAGAGTGCGTGTGGTTGCTGGCACAGGCTGAGCCAAAACTTTCCAGCTTTGCCACCTGTCAGGTTCACTGAGAGTTCCTGGAGAGTGCGTGTGGTTTGACCAAGAGTGACTTGTCTTTCTCTGCTTTGTGCAGGTTGACTCCTCCTGATTAAGTTCTAATTTGGGCGAGTGCTTGGGTGCGTTTTCTTTCTCTTCAGAAGAGTTGGTGGTCTCACTGGAAGGTGGTTCTTGCTTCCTCAGGCTGGGCGTGCTCTCCTGGTCCCACAGCCGTGTTGGGGCACAGCATTTTGGCCAGCAGTTTATGGGACTGGTGCGTTTTCTCTTCAGGAGCGTGTCTGGATGTGTTTGGCAGTGGTGCCTGGGACTAAAGTTCCTTGTGGCTTCTGAAATGCATCCCTGGATCTGGTGGGGAAGGTGGAATGGAGGGAAGTGTCCTGCCAGACTGGATGCTGAAACAAGTGGAGCTGTGGTTTGATTCGGTGGGGCTGTTCTTTTGTTACATCCCTTCTTGTGTAAGGGGACCCTCAGCCTTTGGGTTTGCTCTGTGTCTTCATCCTGTGAGCGCTTTTCGGAAGCGTGCACTTGGCTTTCACTTGTAGAAAGGCAGAGATGGGAGTTGGTGGGCAGACGAGGTCAGAGGTCCCCACTCAGATGCTCTTGCTGTTCGGCGATGACTTTTCAGCGTGAAATTTGTGTGTAGTTTTTCATCCTGGGACTGGAGTGACTCAGACTGATTTTAGCAGGGGAAGGGAAGAGAAACTTCTTGCTGGGAAAGATGAGGGAGGGTAGAATGACAGCAGCTGTGGTGGGAATGGGCCTGCTGTATGATCAGGGCAGCTTCAAACCCTGGACTTGAACCAGGCAACAGAAAACCATGATAAAAATGTAACTATTTAAATGCCAGGAGAACTTCTTCTAACAACTTGCTTTCATTTTTAACACGTATTGTCAAAGTTTGGGTTGGTCCGAAGCGGGTCTGCAGTTGATCTCGCGTGTCCAGGAGAGGCCAAGGGAGCTGTGGTGTATTCCCTCTGCTCTGTTTTCTTCCCTGCTGGCTCTCTCAGATCCTGTTGGCAGCGCTTGGCAGGGTACGTGGCCCATCACGTGGGACCGCAGGGCTCTGGCTTTTAGTCTTGCTTTATGTTAACAGAAAGCAACTATTTAAATGCCAGGAGAACTTCTAACAACTTGCTTTCTTTTTAACACGTATTGTCAAAGTTTGGGTTGGTCCGAAGAGGGTCTGCAGTTGATCTCGTGTGTCCAGGAGAGGCCAAGGGAGCTGTGGTGTATTCCCTCTGCTCTGTTTTCTTCCCTGCTGGCTCTCTCGGATCCTGTTGGCAGCGCTTGGCAGGGTACGTGGCCCATCACGTGGGACCGCAGGGCTCTGGCTTTTAGTCTTGCTTTATGTTAACAGAGAGCTAAATAGATTTGCAAGAGGTTTTGTTTGGGTCAGTTCTTTCCCTCTGTTTGCACCCAGGTGCAGCACTAGATAAGGGCAGGTGAGACACAGTTTTAAGGATGTGGAATCAATCAAATCGGTTCCGTTTGATTTTTGTGGACTTAGAATAAATTCAATAGGTACATGTTTTGGATTTAAGACAAACTGAATAAACAAAAGGTGTCTCTCCAGCTTAGGAACGGACCTGCCTGGTTTTTTATTTTCACCGTTCTTGGCATTTTTAGAGCTGTGAAGCTCTGCTTGCATTTTTTCTTTTTTTTTTTTAATGTGTAAAGAGAAACTTCTGGAGTTGTCTTAGCTTTATTGATTTATCAGTTTTGAACGGAATGAGTTTTGGATGAAGGAAACGAATATGGAGCTCCTGTAGCATTTTGGTGCCTGTTAAGATAGTAGTACGGCTTCTCGAGTTGTGGTGTTTCTGTGTTGTTTGGGCAGTATGTGGTGTAGTCCTAAGAGAATTTAAAATGGGAAATTAAAAGAAATGTGTCCTTAAAAGCGCATTTTTTTTTTTAATCTACTTGAATTAATATAAATCCCATAAAGTCGTCGTTGCTTCGTAATTCCTTTACAGCTGTCCTCCTCCACTGTACAATTGGGGGAAATACAGCTGTTTCGGACTGTCAGGGCGTAACCTCTGAATTCCGGAAGAATCAGCGTTTTCGAGGAAGGTGTCTGCTGTTCTTGCACCGCTTGGAGCGCTCTGTGAAGGAGCTCTGTGAAGGACAGCCTTGCTGGGTGTGCAGCCTCTGCTTTCCCTTCGCTAACTCGGCTGAAGTTAAGAATTAACCAGCCCGAGAGGCAGAATTGTCCTTGCAGGGGTGTGCCGCCCTGCTTCTCCGTAATCCTCCCCGCCACGCTCCGCACGCCGCGCTCCGGATAAGAGGATAATTCCTTCTGGCTTTGAGATTGCTTTGGGGAGGAAGGTTTTGAGGGTTTTTAATAAAGTAGGAGTGCATAAGCCCCGCTGAAGCAGTTCACTCTGGTTGTTGCGTTGCTCACCGCCGTGCGGATGAGCAAGTTTGACACAGGGAGGAGCCAAGTGAAGGAGTAGTGTTCTCCCAAAGCTGTTGTCTTTGCAGGAACAGAATAAGCTTTAAAACCATCCAAAGCCACTTCACTGGAGCACCAATCGGATGTTTCCTACGGGGGCAGTGTAAAGGAAAGAGCAAATGATCCTGCAGCGTTGCGTGAGTTAAGGGAGGCTGAAGTTCTGCCTCTGCCTTGTGGCACTCTGCATTCGCCTCGACTCAGCCGTGTACGTGTGTACCCACATACACCTGTGCAACACCTCAAGTAGCTTTATTACCAATTAAAAATTACCAAGCGTTCCGCTTGTCTGAAATAGGTGTCATCCATCTGGAAACTCGGCTAGCTCTTAATCTTTATTACATTACATTATTTTGCTTCAAACCCTCCCGTTCCATGCTTGTGTTACACACCTATTGCCCGTAGCTGATGTTACCTGCTGACCAGGTGGATCAGGAGACCTGGCTGAGGGCTCTCAGAGGCTTCCTTGCGTGTATTCCACAGGTCAGTTTTTGATGACAGAGTGACTTCCATCGAGTTGGCTCTGGAGGTCTTCCAGAGCTGAGGGTATCTGAGCTCCTGGCAGAGCTCCCTCAGGCTGGAGCAGCTGCTCATCCCGTGGCCCTCTGAAGCTCCTCCACGGCCAGCAGACAAAAGCAAGCCTGTCCATCTTCTGGACTGTTTCTGCTGGGCTGCAGCTGGCAGGTTCTGCCAGGTTATCCTTACACCCTGCAAATAAATTCCAGTTCAGTGGAGACAATATTATGTGGATACCAATATTACTTGCTTCGGTAAAGATGAAAAGTTTATCACTGCTCAGCCAGCTGTTGATTATTTGGTTTTCTGTAGTCAGATCTGCAAAAAAGCAATGGTTGGTTCCTAAAACAGTTGTGTTAGCTGTTTGCTTATACCCATCTGGACTGTGCTGGAGTGGCCCTGTATCCTTGAAGATATTTTTTTTGTCTCCAATGTGTCAGAATCATAGCTTCTTAACATGGACAGGTAAGGGCCCAAATCACTGTTGGAAGAGCTTTGTTGAATTTCACAAATAAATCCTTTCTCCAGAAAGATGGGAATGCTTTACACAGGTTTGCTTTTGACTTTCAGTCATGGTGATTTCAAGATGATGGTTCGAGAAGACATTAAAAATATTTCTGTGCTCTTGCTCACTGAGACATAACTGACTTGATGCCGTAAAGCAAAAGGAAATGTAAAACTTAAACTTGGCATCTTAGTTCTGCCCGACCTGTGTTTGTGCACAAGGGGGAGGCTCAGTCTAGAGTCTGAGTGTCTCTCCTCTGTGTGGGGCTGCCAACCTCGGGCTGTGGAGAAGAAAGAGGGCTGCTTTCTGATGGCCACGCTGAGAAAACTCACAGTGTTTACTCCTAAACTCATATGCCTAAAATGCTATAAGGTTAAACCTTCCGGCACTAAAAATGAAGAATTCCCCATTCTAAATTGAATCGGAATGCCGATGTCATCTCTGTCTTCCTTGGTGCTTAATTGAAGTCTAGTTAATCTTTGGTGGTCTTGTATGTTGCTGCTGTTTATTACGTTGGGATTATTTTGGTTTCTTGGAGGTTGCTGCCCTGCAAGGGGGAGGGAGGGTCTGGCTGTTGGAATCCAGAGTAGCCGGGGGTGGCTGGAAAAGGCTGGACTCTTGCCATTACCTCGTATGCCCCCAGCTGCATTCATGTGGTGGGAGCCATGCGCTTTGTCCTGGCAGCGG